CACCCATCGTCCTTTGTTTCCCGTTCCCGGCTGGAGCTGTCATTCCTCTCAGAGTCTCAGTCTTCCAGGGGACTTCTAATTCCATTTTCCCCTCGGAGACTCCTGCCTGGAGCCCCTGGCCTCTTCCTTCGGTCTGGGTCCTGGAAGTGCCCCTCCCTGCTGTCTGGGGGTCTCCTCTCTGCCTGTTTCTGCTCTGACCCTCTGCTTCCTCAGCCGTCATGTAGTTTTTCTTGCTGTGCAATGTGAGGCAGGAGTGTATTTTTCCTGAAATACAGGTGGATTGTGCCACACGCTGAAGCCTCACCTCTAGACCTGACCACCCTTCAGAAAGTGCTGGGTATTCACGAGTCTCCTATCAGGGCCCGCCTCCCAGCACCTTGTCCAAGGGCACCTCTCTCCTAGGCAGCCCTAACTGTTCTCCTGCCCGGCGTGGCAGTCGGAAGAAGCATGTGAGATCGTGTGAAAAGGAAAGCATTTTTTTTATTGCATTTTAGGTTTTGGGGTACATGTGAAGAACATGCAAGACTGGGACCTAGGCATGGAAAACATTTGTTAAATCAGAGAAATAAATCAATGGGTGAATGAACAAATGGGTGATCAGCTGCCCAGGGCTCTCCTCCCGGAATCCAGGGATGATGAGCTCACGCTGCAGCCCTGTCTCTGGTAGCTGGGGAGAGGCATGGTTTAAAAAAGCAAAAGGCAGCCAAGCCAGGACCCATGCCGTCTGCTGGCAACCACAGGCTCTCCTGGGGGACTTTGCTTCCTGGAGATCAGGAGCAAGAGCTCATTCACACATCCCTGCCTCCATTCACTCAGCAGACGATTATGGAGCGCCTTGTGTCAGCAACACGCAGTGGGCTTGAGAACAGGCTGTGAGTGGTCATGGCGATGGTGGAAGTGACACTGGGCACAAATCCGCTGGTGCGGCGTGTCCAGGCTGGGACTGGAGTGTGGGTGTGTCCTCTCAAGCTGCGCCCACCTGTGCCCCACGCTCCACACGTGCCCTGCTCTGCAGCTGCTTCCTCCTCTCCCTGGACTGTGCCAAAGCCAGTCCCCTCTCCGGGCCTCGTCGACAATGCCTGCTCCCCAGGTTGTGGCAGGACCAGTTCATTTTTCTCATTGAGTCTCCCTCAGACCACACGCCACTCCATGCCCAGATGCAGGGCAGGTCGCCCCGTCTGCTGACGCAGAACACGCCCGCTCACTCATGTGGCTGCTCGCCCACTGCTCACCTCCACCTCTTGGTGTTTTAGCTCCGTGAGAGGCTCATTGCACTCCTCGGACGTCACCTGACACCTGGGAGCTCCCCTGAAAATCCGGCATGGACAGAGGTGCTTGAGAGATGTGGCAAGTTTCCGTCAGTCGGGGCAGTAGGGTGAAGATACCGTGAATGAGATGACTGATGATACATTCTCACCGACACTCAACAAATACCTGTGGAGTGAATAAATGAACAGTCAGCTCTCGTATCCTGCGGGGCAGAGGCTCCGTTGCTTTCTCTGAGTTACAGATAAGGAAGCTGAGGCTAACTAACATGGGACACTTGAGACCTGATTCCGAAACCCCAAGGCTTCCTCTCAGGTGAACGGTCAACCTGGAGTCCGGCCGCGCTCCGATGCTTCAGACTCTGTTTCATGTGTAGGTTACGTCCTTGTCTTACGACAAGCAGCGGTTGTGATAATCCAGTGGTGTGAGCTAAAGGGCTTTTCCGTGTTTATGATTCACCTGCAGACCTGGCTGACTTTATTGGATCTAAACTTCCTCTTGTAGGATGATTGCTTTCAGTTTGAGGGCTGTCCCTGAAATGTGTGATACTAGGAGGAGCTGCACTCGCTGCCCAATGCATAGTTAATGCTGTGGCTGAATTTGCCACGCTGCCCCTGGGTGTTCGGCCTCAGTTGTGTGTGGATGGCCAGGGCGGGTCGTAGCTGACCCATTGTGTTCATTTCAGGCGGTGTGTGCCTCAGTCCTGTGTGTCGCTGTAGTATTAGAAACCGTCCCTCAACCCTCAGCTCTGCGGAACTCCTGATTTGAGGGCCCTTGGTAGCCCTTGGCATAGCTCCATGGGTCTCATTGATGTTTCTGCAGAGCTAAATATTCCCTAACACCCACGGAGGCCCTTGCTCTGCCCCTTCCGAGCCAATGCCTGTCGTCCAGTCACAGTGCCCAGGAGCCTGGATGGCTTATTGCTCTGTGCCCCGTCCACCCCAGCCAGATGCCCAGCTCTTCGGCCACAGGGAGCCTGCCCTCCCTTCTGTGAGCCTGTCTCCCCGGACACTGCTGCAGGCCCGCTGCCCTCCCGGATGGCCGATCCTCTGGGTAACAGGCCTGTTCCTCAGGCCCGTCCTCCGGCGTCGGGAGCTCCAGTGTCCCCGTTCTGCAGGACCACTCTCTGTAAAGGTCACGCTTTCCCCTTGTTGGCCCCGAAATGAGCCTCGCTTAAGCTGTTGCTTCGATTTTGTAAGAATTCAGTGCTGCCAATTTTAACAATCTATTCTGATCGTCCAAATGGCCCAGCTTGCTAGTAGCCTGCAAAAATGCACTGGTTTTCATCTGAAGCTGGAAACCAAGTTGTACTGCCAGCTTGGCTGAGTTTTCACAGCCTGCTGGAGAATTCTCTTGTTGTGTTTTTAATCCTGCCAGTTGAAAACTCTCTTTGATTCAACTGACTCAGTGGTGGTGTCATTTATATAATCCCTGTATGTTCCCGCTTATTTGTGTCTTTTTCTATTTGGTTATTTATTGTTGCTCTTGCTGGGTTTTGCTTTGAAAGGAATAGCTTTCAGCATTCGGCGGTCGGGCTGAATTCGAGAGTGGTGTGATCAATCTGTGTTCCAGTCACTTGCCCAGCTCTTAAAACTCTCACTGGAAACGTGAGAATGGAATGCACGTGAATGAATGAACACAGAAACTCAGACAGCTTTTCGTTTTTAGCGGGGGGAATGGCAGATTTCCCCTCGGCTGGGGAAGCCGAGCTCGTCTCTCTCTCTCCAGCCCCAGGAGGCTTGTGAGAGAGAAGTCAGAGCTGTTGAGAGAATGTTCACTTGCTTGTTCATGCTGTGGCATCGTCCATCACTAATTATTCTCTAGGCGGCTAGAGAAGATATTTCTCTGGAAACTGAGAACTCTAAATGTAAGTTGCAGTGTAGCATATGCATTCTTTATTGTGCGCTATGCTTTAAGAGGTAGGTGAACTCCCGTGTCAGAAAATAATGCTTCTTAAAAATCCCTGTTTTCCCGCTCCACGGGGAATGTTTGGGGGAGTGACGCCAGTGTGAGGGGTGCACAGTGTGCACTGTGGGGCAGGTGGAGCCTGGTTCATCTTTCCTTCTCTGTCTCGTTACAACCTCCGGAAACTGGCCTCCAGTGTCCCACACTTTAGGAATTGTTCCGTGCTTTCACACTTGATGATGACGTTCATTAACACTCTTGGTTTCAAGTGACAGAAAACGCAGACAGGAGATTCTGTTTGCACCTGTCACTGAAAATGTGGCTTCAGATACAGCTGCACCCAGGGCTTAAACCTGCCAGCCTCAGACCCAGCAGAATCCAAGGCCTCCCCATATTGTCAGGACCAGGCTGCTCTTTGCCCTCCTGGGGGGTCAGCGTTAGCCTTGGTTTCCCTGCGGAGGCCCCGGCCACTCCAGCCCTGACCCTCCTGGTGGCAAAGTGGCTGTAGCATCTCCAGCGTCACATCCTCCCAAGCCGAAGTCCAGTGGAAAGGGTGCTCCCTCTCTCCCAGCATTCTCCTTAGGCCCCATGCCACCCAGTTCACCAATTGCTGAGGGTCCAGAACCATGCTTAGCACAGCGGGGGGACAGACCCCAGCCAGTTCACAGGCCCTTCCCAGGAGAGGAGGGCATCGAAGTCAGGCAGCAAACACGACAGGCTCTTACTGTCATCATGATGCTAGGACTTCCAGCTGTGAGGACAAGAAGCCACAGAGTTCCATTTCAGCTGCACCTGAATCTGCCCTTTGCCCAGGCGGCAGCTTCCTGAGACATTTCTGGAGTGAAACGTGTGAAGTTCCTCCTTCTTCAGGGGCCCAGATGTTTTTGCCACCGGTGCTTTGGGGAGGAGGGGGTCCCTGCCGCAGGCTGCAGGTGCCAGACTCTGTTTCATGCTCAGGACCCTGCCCCAGACCCCCCTCCAGGGCCTGGTGACATCTCAGGGAACCTGGAGCTGATCGGGGGTCAAGTCTGCAGGATTAAGTTTTAGTTAGGGACATATGGGCAGATGAAGGTACTGTCGGAAGCATTGGAGGGACACTGCTGTGCTCTAGGCCTTCCGTGCGTGACCCTTTCTCGGGAATGGAATCAGCGCCACCTACCCTTGGTCCCCAGCCAAGTCCCAGGAGTCGCCCACTCCCTGCCAGATTAGGAATCACTTTGAGTTTTTATAAAAAGCATAAAACCCAACCCAAATCCATTCCATCTAGCCAAGGGGACAAGTGAGAACTCCTTTAGACCCTCACAATTAAGGGGCTTATGCTGTTCACTCAATCTAAATGCCCATCAACGATAGACTGGATAAAGAAAATGTAGTAAGTTCCATGAAATACTAATGGCCATGAAAAAGAATGAGGTCCTGTCTTTTGCATCAACCTGGATGGAGCGGGAAGCCATTGTCCTAAGTGAATGAATGTGGGAACAGAAAACCAAACACTGCATGTCTTCCTTTATAAGTGGGAACTGAATAGCAGACACCAGGGCCTGATTGAGGGCGGAGGGTGGGAGGACAGTGAGGATAGAAAACCTACCTATTGAGTCCTAAGCTTGTCACCCGGGTGAAGCAGTAATCTGTACATCAAACCCCCTGGACATGCAGTGTATCCATATAGCAAACCTGCACATGTATTGCTGAAACTCAAATAAAAGTTAAAATAAAGAATGAATGTAGGGGCCTATTAGAGGAATAAAAATAAATGGTTCAGACATGGACCTCATTGTCTTCTTTCCCTTTTGAACACTTACCCTTTTCTCTCTCTCCATCATAAAAAGGCTCAGGTTGAGGCCAAGAAGGAGCATGAGGGCGCCGTGCGGCTGCTAGAGGTAAGGAGCGCGCCCTGCTTTCTGCCCGGGGGTGGGGACGCTGCGGAGAGTTGCACTCACACCTGCTGGAAATAACAGATAACGTTTATTAAGTTTGCATGCTGGGTGTTGTCCTCAGAAGCCGCCAGTACAACAGGTGCCAGGACGATGTCCGTTCTTACAGGGAAACTGAGGCACGGAGAGGTTAAGCAGCTTTCCCTTGGCCACACATGCAGACTCGGAATGGTGTGTCTCAGACGTGGTTTGCTATCCTCTGCTGGCTCCTCTTGGGTGGAAAGCGAGGCAGCGTGGCTCACTCCCCTACTTGCGAATTGATTTCCCCGGGAGGAAAGGCGGGGGAACCCTCCGGAGGCCATCCTGACCTCTGATGAGCTGCCTTGGGGTATCTTTTTAAGGTGCAAAGCTCATCCTGGGGAGGCATTTGTAGGATCAGAGAAAGGAGGGCGTGGGCAATCAGAGTCCCCAGCGTCATCCGAGACACTTTCCCGCGTGTGGTCCCTGCAAACATGGTGTGAGTGGCCTCCTGCCTCCCAGAGATGTGTCCCGCTGGGGGCTTGCGAAGGACACCTGCTATGTCCCAGCTGCATGAGTGGTGTGCCGGGAGTGACCACTCCTGTCCCTGGCTCCTGGTCCAGTGCCGGCTTCCTTGGGAGTGAGTAGGCAGGCAGAGTGGGAGGGCTGTGGGGTCCCCCTGAGGCCTCTGCTGTCTGCATCTGTCACACACAGTGGACGGGCTACAGCGAGCTGGGGCCCCCACCTGCTGAAGTCAAGGATCATGCCGTTCCCCACCCCGTAAGGAGAGGGTTGCATGGGAGTGGATCTGCCCCAGGGTGGCCTCCTCCCGGCTATGTTCCCTGAGGAGAGGCCTTGGTTTCCCAGCATTGGATGCAGTCTCCCTCTTTAGAATGACCTTGTCCCTTGTCTCCGGGGAGGCAGCAGCCAGTTAAAGCCGGCTGTGTGCAACTCTTACGTTGCCTTTTAAAGTCTATTCCTCCCGCAGGAAAAGGTTTCATCATTATCATCGTATACATTAAGATGGATTTTTTGAAAGCCTCCTTTATTAATGACTGTCTGGAGGGAGGAGTGTGAAGAACGGCACATAGGAAAGTGTATAACCTGAGAGAATAGAAACCGGCCTCCCGATGGCCATTCATCCCCCTGGAAAATCGTTCCCTTTCCCTGGCCCGAGTTACCCACCGCACTTGCATTTGCATTGTCTCCTGGCAGGGAAGGTACTTTCCTTTCTCCAGTTGCCCTGGAGCCCACTGACGTGACCCTGTGTGGCTTCAGTCTGCCTCTGAGGGGCCGCCCCACCACGGTGTCACCCCTGCTGCTGCTGGTGCATGTTCTCAAATGCGGTGGCGGTCGCAACGCAGCGTGCTTTGCTTTGAAAAACGGAGCAGGCGACTCAGATGTGCTGGGAGTGGTGCTGTCTTTGGTTTACGGCGTCTTTGTGTAACTGTGTCTTGCTTTGCTCTTCGCGCAGAACACCCTGGACAGCATGCAGGTATTCTAGAGAATAGCGTCTTCCCCGCCCGGCGTGCTTGGCGATGCTTTTCCCGTGAGTGGACACGGCCATGAGTCCTGGGCCTGCTCTGACCTGCCTCTGCTTCCTGAACTGCAGCTTCTGACGCAGGTGGGGGGTGGTTGGGGCTGCTCAGCCTGGGGGAGCCAAAGGAGCTGCTTCCAGGAGCTCCGTGAGCAGGGACTCCCTTCCTCCGCGCATCAGAATACAGCGCGTTGTTCTCTGAGGTGCCACGCAGGCCCAGGCACATGGCAGTCCCCGTCCTGCCAGGGCTGTAACTCTCAGGCTGGGGTAGCAGTCCTGGGGCTTCAGATGACCACAGGGGAGACACATTGCGGGTCGATTCTACGTGGGGCCAGAGTTGTTGAGGGAGCCTAGCAGGTAACCCTGAATTTGGTTAATTCGGTTCCTGGTCATCAGAATTCAAGCCATGCACCTGAGTGTTACACCCTTCGTTCTGCCTCTGCACTGTGTGGACAGCAAGCTCCTTCCCGCGGGCCAGGGAGGCTGCCTGTGCTCCTCTCTGTCACAGACCACCCCTTGCAGTTCCCCCTGGGTTGGATGAGAGGCTAGGTCGCCCCCCCACCCCACGGCTCTTGAGTTGGATGGTAGGTTCTTGGAAGGAACGGCTTTTCTCACTTCTGGACAAGTGGTTCTCTGAGTGGGTGCCCCAGGGCAGTAGCAGCACCTGGGAACTCGTGAGCAATGCCACTTCTCAGGCCCAGCCTTCCTAATCCAAATTTGCAGAGGGGCTCCAAGGTCAGTTGTAATCACCCTTCCAGGTGTTTCTCATGCCCCTGAGTTCTGAGAAGCATTGTTCAGGGAGCCTGTGAGGCCAGCTCCTGGGGAAGAGAGTATTTTCAGCAGGGCATCCCCTAGGAAGTCTTGGCTTTTGCAGGGCTCAGCACCTTGGGAACCTGATCCCAACCTGGAGCTATTGACCAAGAAACCATGGATGTCAACTCCTACCTGCCTACCCATCCAGGAACCATCTGTGGTGTGCAGTGGGGGGTTCATGTCGAGGTGTCCGTGGCCCTGGAGAATGGGGCATATTGGTGACTTTCTGTAGATGGAACATTCCACTGGACAGAACAGCCTGCTTCCATGCCCAGCCAGACATAATAGAGAACACCTAGATAGGGTACACCCCAGAACATGTCACATAAAATCCCTGAGCACACAGTGACCCAAAGGTGTCTGAGACGGGTCTCAGTCAATTGAGGACATTGCAAAGGTTAAGGATGCACCTGTGACACAGCCTTGGGGGGGGGTCTTGATGACTTATAATCAGGGCAGTCTGGGTACAGCTCGATTTTATGCACTTTAGGGAGACATGAGCCATCCATCAATGTGTGTAAGGTGTACATTGGTTTGGTCTGGAAAGGCAGGACAACTTGAAGTGGGGGCTTCTGAGTCATGGTGTAATCTCCCGGTGGGTTCACCTTGCCTGTTGCCTAGATACAGCCTATGTATCAAGACAGGGGTATTGCAATAGAGAAAGAGTAATTCATGCAGAGCTGGCTGTTCAGGGAACCAGAGTTTCATTACTGCTTAAGTCAGTCTCCCTGAGAATTTGGAGATCAGAGTTTCGAAAGATGATTTGGTGGCTAGGGGTTAGTGAGTTGGGAGTGCTGATTGATTGGGTTGGAGATGAAATCATGGGGAGTCGAAGCTGTCCTCTTGCACTGAGTCAGTTTCTGGGTGGGGGCCACAAGACCAGATGAGCCAGTTTATTCATGGAGTGCAGGGTCTGCACGATATCTCAAGCACTGAGCTTAGGTTTTACAATAGCGATGGAATCTCCAGGAGCAATTTGGAGAGGGTCAGAATCTTGCAGCCTCTAGCTGGATGACTCTTAAACAATAATTTCTAGTCTTGTGGACGATTTGTCAGTGCTGCCAAGGCAGTCTTATTCCATGCCGGGAAGGAGGCTTGTTTTGGGAAAAGGCTGCTTCTTCTTTGTTTCAAAGATAAAGTATAGACTAAGCTCCTCGCAGAGTTCCCTCAGCCTACACCCAGGAATGAGCAAGGACAGCCTGGAGTTTAGAAGCACCACGGAGTTGGGTCAGGTCTCTTTCACTGTCTCAGTTATAATTTTGCAGTGATGATTTCAATAGGTAGATGAGAGACACAGGGTTGCATTCTTTTCAGTCTCTGATGAGCCTTCTGCTGAATACACGATTTCCATGTGAGAGGAGGGCAGAGGAATAGTCACTTATGCCTTAGTCTGGCTCAGTGAATCTGCATTTTTGCATAGATCATAGGCCAGAAGAAACAATCAGATACGCATTTGTCTTTGGCGAGCAGAGGGTTAGAAGCTGAGCTCTTTTGTCCCGCACCTGTGAAGATGAATGATGAATTTACATTGCCTGGGTGAAATTCTACAGAACTGTCTCAGGGTAAAGATCCTGAGGCCCACAAGGAATCTCTCTGTGGGAAATTGTGAGGGAGGTATATAGCTTTTCATCTTTGAAGCCATCTTTCTTAGAAAAACAGTGGAGGGCACGTTTTCCAAGTCAGTTCCCAGCTTATTTCCCTTCGGCTTAGTGATTGTGGGTCCTGAGATTTATTTTCCTTTCATGGTTCCCAGATACGCAACTCCAGTGCCATGGACACTTCTAGGCCCTGTTCTTTAAATAATGAAGGGCCAGGAGGTTTTGCTGGCAGCGGGGAGGTGTCTTTTTTCTGGGTCATGCTGTATGGAGTGATGTAGTACCCTGGGCTAGTTTTGGGATTTAGCAAAGATGTGCCTCAGGATTTAACTAATCATAGAACAGACATTTTCAAGAATTTGCCTGTCAAGACAGCCCTTTTTGTAAACCTAAGAACCTGAGAGCAGGCAGATTTCAGATATAGGAGTTAAGTAATGTCTTTGGCACTTAGAGAAAGTCGTGTCAAAACAAAGAAGCAAAAGAAAATAATGAGAGCAGCAGCAACACCTGGGACAGGTGGCCTGTGCTGGGTGCTGTCCTCGGAGGGCATCAGAGAGACATCTCGACCTCCATGAGATGACGCACGTTTCACCTGACCTTCGCCATGTCTGGGGGAGCCAAGGCACAGGCAGGTGACTGAGTGACCTGCCCAGGGGTCTCAGGGAGTCATGGGCAGAATCCCATTCAACCCCAGGAGTCTAACTCCAGAGTCCAAGCCTGCAATGGCAGCTGTACAGCATAGCTTCCTGTCAGCTCAGAACTCTGACCTCCCTGCGGGTGCTGGGTGGGAGCTGGGTGGGAGTCGGGGGTGGGGGTGGGGGATGGGGGGCAGATGGGATGGTGGCCCTGGTCCTGAGCCCTGGTCCTGCCTTCAGAGCGTACTGGAGGATGAATCGCAAGTCAGTGCTGGCAGCTCCGGACCGAGGAGTGCCAGCCGTGCCGCCTTCACCTGCTGTGTTTTCCCCTGGATGTGGGATGGTGGCAGGGCCTGCGAATGCAGGAAGTTGGTTTACCCGGGCCCTTGAGAGCTGTAGTCTTGTTTAACCCCTGAAACCGCTGCCTGAGGTTCTCCGCTGCCTCGTTTTGCTGATTAGGCAATTAGGGCACGAGGCAATGAGCCACATACCAGAGGACACACAGCTCCAGGTGCCAGGGCTAGGCCACGAGGGAGGGCAGGAAGCCAGCTGGTACCCCCTCTCACCAGGGCCAGGCCCCGAGGGAGGGCAGGAAGCCAGCTGGTACCCCCTCTCACCAGGGCCAGGCCCCAAGGGAGGGCAGGAAGCCAGCTGGTACCCCCTCTCACCAGGGCCAGGCCCCAAGGGAGGGCAGGAAGCCAGCTGGTACCCCCTCTCACCAGGGCCAGGCCCCGAGGGAGGGCAGGAAGCCAGCTGGTACCCCCTCTGAGGTGATTTGAGAAAAGTCTAGGGCAGCGTCGCTTGGACTGAATCGGGGTCTGTGCTTCCCGGTCAGGGGACCCTCCCCGGGAGGAGCCTGGCCCTGGTGAGAGAAGGCGCTGTGTACTTGGTGTGCGCATGTCAGCAGCTCTGTAGTGATTCCTCAGGGCGCCCTCGTGGGAGTCCCTCTCCTTCTTCTTGGCTGTCTCTGTGTGAGGGAGGGCAGAGGAATAGTCACTTACGCCTTAGTCTGGCCCGGTGAACCTGCATTTTTGCGTGAATTCTAGGGCAGAAGAAACAATCAGATTTGTCTCGGGTGAGCAGAGGGTTAGGTGCCAAGTCCTTTTGTCCCGTACCTGTGAAGGCATAGAACTGCAGGTGACGTTGGCCCCGGTATGTCGGCCTCAGAGGAGCCTGGCTGATCATGAACAGCCCCCTTTCCTCTCTGGGTCTCCCTGGGGGACTTTTGGGAGTGGCCAGGTTGCTCGTCTCCCAGGCAGGCTTGGGTCCACCTCCCTGTGGGGGTCTGGCCTGAGGCCTGCCGTGGACCACTGTGGTCTTTGGCCTTTCGGGAGGTCTGCAGCCCTTTGCCTTCAAGGGTCACCCCTTCCTCCGTAGAATAATACTTACAGTTGTATTTTGCATCTAGGGTGGGATAAAGATGAGTATTATCCAGGTTGTATTCATAATGCTGTACTTATCACCCCTTTTCACTTCTTTCCTGATTTTAAAGGAAACTAAAATGGAACCATTTCTGGGGCCCCTGAAGGTAGAGCACCGTGGCCGCAGGCGCTAGGCCTGCTTGCGCTGCAGGGAACCAGCCCTGCCTGGCTCTTGCTCAGAAGCTGGGTGACCACCGGGCATGTGAGCATGCTGGGGGATGTGTGGACGGTGAGGGTGCAGGCTGGGGCTCAGGTGGGCCCTGGGCGGGGAGAGTGAGGGTGCAGGCTGGGGCTCAGGTGGGCCCTGGGTGGAGAGATTGGGAGACAGCAGCCAGAGAGACCTGGGTGAGGCCTGCTGCCCGCTGGGTGTGTGACCGACAGTCCCTCTTGGCCCCGTGTCCCTCCCTCGTGCAATGGCCTGACACTGACTCACCCAGGAGGTCTCTCTAGTCAGCAGCAATGCACGAACCCCAAGCAGGGATGGCACATAGCAG